TTTTTTTTTTTTCGTTTAATGAATTTTAAGGGAACTAATCATAAAGGAAACCAGCTGAAGAGTTGAAGCTTATTGAATTACTAAAGAGGTTGTTGGCTAGAGTTTGTCCTTAATTACTTTGCTAGGCATCAGCTATGGGATGCTGTTGTAAAAGAATTTATAAATGTAAACTTTTATTCGAAAAAGGAGCAGAACACGTCCAAATGTAAGTTTGTTTCCTTATAGTATCGTAATTGACATGCAACCATTGTAGAATTTAGATCAAGGGGAGTAATGTATTTGGAAACCATGTGGTTTGTCAGAGGGATGTTTGTGGTATATGGAAATTCTTTGTGCCCTGGATTCTCACACACAATTCATGGATTGGCTCTTATTGGTTCAGCTTTGAGTTTTGTATTCTCTACCTTTACCCAAGTCCAAATTCTTTGTGATGATTGGACTTTGGCTAGAAATGTCTAATGTTGGGGTAAGGACCAACAAAAGGACCACCTAAACCTATATACTTTTGGCAAGTTGCATGTCCAAATTGAACTTCCTACCTGTAAGCATAGGCATCTTGATGTTTTGGATTTGTTATATGGAATAATATTAGTACGCTTTCAACAAAGATTAGCAATGGCTTCATTCACTTGTATGTTCTTCTGCAGTGGTAGCAACGATCACACTACGAAGTTTTGGTGCAGAAATAGGCCGGGAGACACTGGTCGTGATAAATTTAACATTGGTCAGAATCAAGGTTGTACTTTGCCTAACCCAAAATCTAAATGTGAAAACTATGTAGTTCGTTATCTTATCAAATAGAATGTTATTTTAAAAGTATACCCAGTTTCACCTGTGCAGCAGCAAGCATGGTAAATGTTACCCTTTATGGGTATTTTTGTGATTTCATAAATAATTAATATGCCAGCATACTTGGATGTATATCTGAAATTTGGATTTATTCTGCTCTAAGTCATGGTAAATGTTACCCTTTATGGGTATTTTTGTGATTTCATCAATAATTAATATGCCAGCATACTTGGATGTATATCTGAAATTTGGATTTATTCTGCTCTAAGTGCTTCATACTAGGGGTGATATATATATATATATATATATATATGTGTGTGTGTGTGTGTGCACACACACACAAACCCACCCACCAACACCTTGCATAAGAATTTGTAGTTTAAATTGAGGTGGATGTGGCCCAACTTGAGCAAAGCATCAATGCTACTTTTATTTCTCGCAGGTTTTGGTGAGCAGAACCCTGCTTTTGGTGGTCGCATGACTGGTAACTTTCCAGTACCTGAAGGACCACCAACTCCAGGACCATTTCCTCCTGGGTTGACTCGAAATGAAGGAACAATTCCAGGCGTTGGAGTTGCTATGCCGTTATCTCTTGATGCATCAACTCAGGGAGAGCAACAGCAACCTCATGCACTTTCAATGCCTTTAGGGGCTCCTCCTCTTCCTCCTGGTCCACACCCCTCTCTTCTTGCTTCTAATCAGCAGCAACAATATCAGCAAAATCCTCAACAGATCCCACAACAGCAACATCAACAACACCAAGCTCACCCACAGCAAATGCCCCCTATGCCTATGCCACCTCCAAATATGCCACATCTACAGCCTCCATCCCATTTACCGTTGCTGCCCCATCCTCATTTACATCGCCCGCCACCCCAAATGCCCCCACTCGGGATACCATCATCAGTGCCTGGATCCTTGCCTATGCCTTCATCAGTTCCTACCTCACATTCAATGCAAATGGTATGTTTTTTCTTCTCACAGAATTATTTAATTACTTTATTCACCTGTTCTCATTATATAAGTTGGATCTACCAAGGGGGATTGCTTTATAAGTTAGAGATTCTTATTTTAAGTAAGAACTAGGGAAGGTTGCTTCACAATCCGTTTGGCTTGCTTACAATTCAAAAGTCAGTCTTCCCTCAATGTTTATTGCCAAAGCTTCAATTAAGAAATGGGAAAATTTTAAATTATGTCCCTTGAACGTATACACGTGTTTCAATTTGTCACCTTTAAAAATATATAATATATGTAGAGATGTCTATCTCAATTTTTAAAAATTTCTAAATATGTCACTTGACACTGACTCCATCCAAAATTCTGTTAAAAATTGTCACTTACTGTGCACATGCCTCATACTGTATGGTGTTTTAGTAATTTTACTAATGAAAAATTTAAAAAAATTTAAAAATCTTAAAAACATAAAAACTTTCAGAAAATAATTTAAAGAACAAATCCCAATTCCCTTCTCCGACATCCCCAGCCACCTCACTCTCCCTCCTCCTCCCTCCTCACCTTCCCAACCATCCATCGAACCAGCCCCAAAAGCCAGACTTGAGGTTGACCTAGTACTAATGCAATTAGTTATTTTCTTCTTAACAATGGCCATC